AGGGGGACACGCCCGACCTAAGTTAGCATGGCTCCATCCCTGCCGTCTTCCGCCGCCGCCGTCTTTGAGGTTTGCCGCCGCTGGTCATTGATTGTTGCGCAGCTTCTCTTTCTGCTCGTAGGTGGCAAGGTCTGCGCGCGCGCCCTCCCCTCCTCCAGGGTCGGGCGCCTTCGCGCACGTGCGTACACCTATTGCGGTAGATTCGCTTACCAGAGACCTTCAACCAGACATGTCGTCGATGAGCGTTCCAGCCATTGAGAATGGAGATCAAATGACCAGAGTAAGACCAGACAATCTACCAAGTACAATCCTCTGGCAAATAACTTTCGATCCTCTGGCAAATAACTATCCAGCCACCCGCTAGGGTGTTCTAGAGAGCCTTGATTCCCACATGGCCTTGGCAGGATAGTTATGGCCCATCGTTCCCTGTGTAGTCTGGAAGGGGAGCTGTTGTACATTGGAGGCGGAGGATGAAGCAGATGGAGGCGGAGGAGCAGCGGGAGGAGCAGGAGGAGCAGAAGGCTCAGAGGAGGTCGGAAAGGGGGAGTTGAGGGGAACAGCAACGCCGAGGAGGAATCGGATCCTGGAGTTTGGCCCAAGCTGGGGCGATAGCGCCGTTCTGAACGACGGGGGCAAGCGAGCGATTTGGAAATGTGGCCAACGCCACCGCGGGAACGCCACTCTTGGAGGGGCCGTCCACGCTACGATCGAGCACAACATGGAGACCAGCAGCTGTTGAGGTTCTCTTCGTGAGCGCTGCGCGCGACGGGGGCGGGGGCGTGCTGACACACCCGGCAGGGGGGAGATGGCAGTGAAGTCCAGACGTGGGAACGACGACCACTGGGTCCAGAAGAGGTCCTGGTCTTCGGGCTTTCCTCTTAGATCTGGGCCAGGGAACCTGTTCGCGGCCGAGGCTGGCCGTGACCAGCAACGCCCCTTTACTGCTTACCTCCAGGGAACAACCACCCGGACCGGACAATTGGCGTATGTACCAAACGGCCCCGGGCGTTTATTAAACAGTCCTGCCTTGTTCGATTCCTCCCTTGGGCGCGTTTACTAAACGATTTCGCGTGTCGGGGTGATGATTATGGGGGTGGGTTTTCTGCCCTCCACTATCTTGCGCTCCTCGCGGTAGCACGATGGCAGTATTTCTGACTTTGGGCAGTTGTGTGAAAGTGGGCAGGGGCGGTGGCGGGGACAGCGGCAAGGGAAAGGCGCGGGAACGGGAAGGGGAATGATTGGCGGTGCCCTCCGCCCTCCTCCCTCTCCAGCCGGCTCAGGTTTTTTGGCGTGCTCGCCCTCGCTCTTCTTCCCTCCTCCTCGCTCCTCCCCTCCTCCATCCTCCTTTCTCCTCCTCCTCCTCCTCCTCCTCCTCCTCCCACCCTCCCTCCCTCCTTTCCGCCCCCCTCCTCGTGCTCCTCTTGCTGCCTGTCTTCTCCCTCCACGGGCTCCTCCTCCCCTGCCTTCTGCTCCCCTATTTCCCCTCCTCCTTCCTGTCGTCGTTATCCTCCTCGAACCTCGTCCTGCTCCCCCTCAGCCCTCCTCACTCTCGCCCTCCTCGTCCTTCAGCTGTTGCGCTTTAGATGCCACGGTCTAGTCGAGAATGCCCGCAGCGTCAGTGTTGAAGCAACGTATAATAACAGCAGCCGCAACGTAACAAGACGGCGACAGAGAAAAGGAACAGCAGAGCGTCCCCCGAGGGCAAATAGATGCGGTGCACGCTGTAACTAGGAGGTGGAGTAGGGCCCCAGGGATCGTACACATACTCAGAAGGGGGAGCCCACGTACATGGAGTGAGCGACATACTGCGCGGCAGCAGGCATCGTATTATCCAGGACAAGATGGTCGGTTCTAGTATTAGTGGCGACAGGGTCGAGCAGTACGCAAAACAAACCTTTCAGACACGTCACCCTTAGTAGTAGAGCGGGCAGGCTCATTAATGCAAGCGGGTAGTACTGTATACGATCATCGCTGAACTTTCATTCTCGTGATGACCACCCAGCGCCGCCACTGTCCGAGCCCCCCAGCATTGCGCTGGCTGTGACGAGCATAGTGCAGAGCATGTTGCAGCAGTAGTGGCAGCAGTGGGATGTATCGGCGGGTGAGTGGTTCGTTCAATCGTGAGGCCACGAGATCACCGTAAGTAGCCCAGAGAGTTAATGCGAGCAAATGTGAGACGGACAGGCTAACGGGGGTGGGCAGTGTGGTCTTATGTGGCGAACAGATGGAGTTAGTGGGTCGGCTTGTACGCCCCTCTCCCTTCCCCCTCTATCGTCCTCCCTCCTTCCTCCTCCCTCCTGCTGTTGATTATCCTACTCCTCTTCCTCCTCCTCCTCCTCCTCTCTTTCCTTATTCCTGCCTCCTTTCTCCCCTCCTCCCCCCCCCTCCTTGTCGGCGTCCTCCTCCCTCCATCCCTTTCTCCTCGTCCTCCTTCTCCCTTTCCTTCTTCCTCTCTCTCCTATTCTGCCCTCCTCCCCCCACCTCTCCTTGTCGTCGGCCT